CCCCTCACCCACTCCGACACCGCCACGGCCTCCCCCCACCACACCCCACCTCAGCCCCCGTATATCAATTTCCTTTAGATGTTCCCTCTCACACAATTGAAGTAACTAGATTCTTTCCTTTGGCTGGCCAGCGGAGATATGAAGCAGAACGCACAATGGGCCATTCATTAAGGTAGCAACACACACACACACACACACACACACACACACAGTTTAGCAGATGCACATAGACTCTCATGTAAACACATTCGTATACGCACACAGCTGCAGTGAAAGTTCTTGGCAACCCTTCACACACACACACACACACACACACACACACCAGAAACTTCGAGAACGACAAGACAAACATAAAAGAATAGGAACTTTGGTGGTATGAGCATAAAAACAGGATTCACGGTGGGGAGGGGGGGACCGATTTCAGTGTAACACAGCTTGCAGGATTTTATTTACAGGATGAAAGGACGAGATGAAGGCGACCTTGCATAAAGCTGAATCATTTTGATTACCCTTTAAAAGGTCCCTTGATGTTTTTTAAACGGGGCTCAGGATGTACCAGATATTTATCACTGTTCATGAATGTCTGCATTGTAAAAAGTTCAGTTACATCCTGTTAATTAGTCAAAATATTAAGAAATGTGGGTTCAAACATGAAAAGAGCGACACTGGGAATCCCCGTTGTGTCACTCTGAGGTCGACCCACACCTCTGTCCTCCCTTTAGGGCGGGAAAATCAACGCGAATCAATCACTATCCTGTCATTATAGCATCCAGTCCAGCCCCCTCTCCAAAAAAAAAAAGACTTGATTACATTTGTAATGACTTAATAACTACTGCGCGGTTAACAGTGCACCGGATCCGACTGCAAGGTTGACTGATCCACTTCAACAGGTGGACACTGACACACCTGCTTTGTCCTGCACAGGTGCATGAGGGAAACAGAGAGAGAGAGAAAGAGAGAGAGAGAGAGAGAGAGAGAGAGTGGGTGAAAGAAAATTAGATTAAAACTGTCTCGGAGAGGCAGAGTGTGCCTGAGGAGAGACAGAAGGATCTGACTTTCTGATACGACTCAGAACACGTGTTGGACCGTTCTGCTCTCACATACGTTGAGTTGGATTTGTTTACATGATCCCACGAAAAATTTAATTAAAATTTGTATGCAGTCCAAAGGAAACGAGACCATGCATTGAGTAACATGCACGAGAACTGGAGCTATAACTACAAATCAGCTATTAGATTAATCACCACATGATGATCTATTGATCCGTTTCTGTTTTTTTCTTCCTCTCTGACAATAAACTGAATATTTTTGGGATATGAACAAAACAAGACACCTGAAGATGTCATATCTGGGGCTTTGGGAAACACTGATCAGCATTTTCTGGCATTTTATCGACCAATCAACGAATACATTAAATCGACAATTCAAATAATAATTGAAACAGGTAATATTTTACTTTAGCTGTAAGTACTTTATGTTCTAACATGAATAAACCTTCATGATTTTTCTTAGATTACTGATTATCGTATTATAAATCCAATGTGTCCCACCATTTCTTTTTTATTTGTAAAGGTATTATATCCTTCACACTTGTATATGTTTGTATTGGTTTTATTAATGAAGAGTGACATCACCTGTAACCCAAACATCTAGTTCCTATCTCCCCTCAGTAGAAACCTGGGTTGGCACAAGATTGGATTTGAGTTTTAGAATAAACTAAACCCACTTTTTGCTTCTTGTTTTCAGTTTTTGAGTCTGTTGGCCCTCTACAGTTACATGACGAGTCTCTAGTTGGCACAGGAATCAAGTTCAGGCCCTGAATCCATCTTAAGATGATGGTGAGCTTTTTGTTTTTTCGTTGTCTGGCCCGGAGCTGATGGGGGTGAGAACCCTCAGTCTCATGGTCACAGGACTGCATGTTCTGTCTGAGACTCTGACACTCACCCAGACTGCTGACCTTTAACTGTCAACATAAGAGCTGTTTGTGTCTCGTTGTGTGTCAGTGTGTGCGTCACAAAAACAACTACACGATGCATTATCGTTGTCACATGACAGGAAGGGTTTGTATTATTCTGTTCCACTTTGTGTTCATCTCTGGGTTTGTGCCACGACAGTTTATTTGTGTAACTTTGGCAGAACAGTCCAGTCAATAATAGTGCCGCAAAATGTTTTAATGTGATTTATCCTCAAGAGGCTTGTGTGAGTACACTGAAGCCAAATTACTCATTTATCCAAGTAAGTAGAAAAATAGAGCTGCTATTGTCATGATGTTAAAATATAGAATTAAAGTAATTCAAGTCTTTCCATCAAGGTTTATTCAAGAATATAAAAAACCCAACTCTTCTATAAATCATTAACTGCTCTAAAATCAATAAATATATTTAAAAAGCTGCCAAAAAGGCCCCAAAGTCTTTTATCATTTGATGTAAGGTTTTGTGTTGTGTAGTATTTTAGTTAGTTGAAGCAAAATCATATTTTTTCAAAACATTTTACTTGAAAACTAAGACTACTTCAGCATAATGTCATTATTTAAGTCCAAATTAACAGCTAATGACAAACATTTCAACCAGCTGTAGGAAGTCCTGGATCACAATGTCGTTGTATTACATAACAGTCACACAAAAATAATGGGCTGAAAATTATTATTATTAAAATAAGCATCTTAAGTAATAAAATGCTTCATTATGACAATTTCCCAATTTGCTTTTCTGTGAAGGCCTTTTTTTTAAAAAACAGAAAAACTCCAGAAGCTCACCGTGTAAACATTAAACGCTTTGTTAGCTCATTTATTTCTTTACTTAATTTAATTTCTCTCTGCGCAAAGTGCAGACTGTGAAGCCATTCATCACTATCCAGAGGCAACGTTTTCGTGTCGAGGGTGGTAATAATAAAAACATTAATGAATTAAAACGGATAAATTCAGTCTTCTATTCTCCATGAATTCAGCACCTAAAAACTCTCGGCAACGAATAAAATTTGACGACTCTTAGCGCAGTTCGTGGCATTTATTGCCGGAACATAAAATTCGACATTACTGGTGCGTAATTTCAGGATTTTCTCTCACGCATCTTGTGCCCACAGCAGCGTGTGTTACATAAAGGGGGCATTTTCGGTCTCACCTAAACGCCTTCGCTTCATGCAGCCACACAGCTGTGCAGGGCCGCAGCTCCCACCGTCAGCACCTCACAAACACACAAGCCAAAACACTCACTTTCAAACCGAGGCCCGGCCGCCGATCCTCAGCTGCACAGCGGGAGCTCAGTCCCCGGTGTGGCTCTGGAGGTCCTCGGCTCGCAGCTCCAGGAGCCGGACGGTCCCAGCGCGAGTCTCCGGCTTGTGTCGCCGCGCTCCTGGAGCATTTCCCCCCTTATATGTCAGGCTTTACGACTGGGGCAAAGAGTGGCGGTTCAGGGGAAGACATGCGCCCTTTTCACCATTTTCCTTTTTCATATGCACAGAACTGGGTTTTGTTGCCCAGTTTTTTCGTTTAAGGGGGAAGGTGGGGGCGCTCGTTTTGATCACATGATTACAATTCACCTGAGATCAAAAAAAGAAAAAAAAAGAGGAAAAAACAAAGGACGCAAAGAAAGGAGGAGAGGCAGAGAGTCGGACACAGAGATGCACTCATGGTTAGGATTCCCTTATCACAGTCAACAGTCACAAAGTGGTGATTTTTGGATTGGGGGCCAAGGCGTCGCATGGCGGGGATACAAGGGGTCATTGTTGTTGGGAACAGCGCTGGTGTTTGTATCCGTGCGGCCCATAATGTACCCGCTCGTCTCTCCTTTCTGTGTACCAGCACTGTTTGGTTTGAAGCGCTGGTGTAGTTATAAAACCAACACATGGAAGTGAAGAGGCGAGATGTCCGATAACACGCAAACGCTGCAGGGACCTTTAATTGATGACAGCACACCTGTGACATGCTGCTGAATGGGAGTGGATCAACCCAGCAGCTGCACAATCTATCACAACTTCAGCATGAATCCGTTAATGCTGGAAGAAATGTGCGTCTTTGGACACCTTCATGTCCGTTTCATAACATTTGGATGTTGGCCGTTACATTTCACAATGTTTACTTCTATTTTTTTTGCTGTAAAAAGTGCATAAATGTTCTTGACACCGCAATGCAAATCAAGAACCCAAATGTTCTTTCAAAGGAAATCTATTATTTATGCGTCTTGACAGCATTTTACGTGCGTAAAATCTGACATTTCTCATCAATGGCCGGATTCGCCCCTTATGGGGCTCAATAAAGAACGATCTTATTTTCTCTTGTCTTGTTTGAGCTTTGAACAGCACAGCGCGCATGTTCGGTTTAACTGGGCCTCTGTCTTTATGTTCTGGAAACCAAACCGCTTCTCTTTCACTGAAGGTTACACGAGGACATTTTTTTCCATCATCAGCTGATATAAAACTAAACGAATCGATTAAACGTGAGAAATTCTTGACGCTGCACGCCCGACTTCTTTCAGAATGCAAACAATTTGCGGCCTTTTGCGCACACGCACTTTTGATTTCGCGCGTAGACGCTGCAGCCTGCGCGAAATGATAGTTTTTGTTAGAGAAAAAAAATAAAATAATAGTTGGATTCCCTGTAAAAGCGCGTGTGTGGAACAGCGACGTGAATTATTCCTGTTCTATTGAGAACATGGCTCATAGAATGAACAGCATGTCCAAATGTAAAATCATCAGAGCAGGCTGTTGATGTACGCAATCAGAAAAACCGACGTACAAGCTGTCCTGCTTAAAATTATTTGCGTAAAATTAAGTGTGCGTAATTTAGAAGGGTCTGAATTAATTCGACCTCTGATAGAGAGAGAGAGAGAGAGAGAGAGAGAGAGAGAGAGAGAGAGAGACTGAATATCAGCCAATCAGAACTCTCGGAGTCTGCATCCCTCATATTTGTGCTGCTCCTTTTTTTATTTTTTTCTCTCAGCCTCATACAAGGAGCTCTTTAAGCCCTGCTACAGACACACAGAGCAGGCATTCATACTCGGGCGGCGCGAGCGAGGGGGCTGGGGAGCGAGCGTCACTTTGGAAACTCGGGAACTCACGGATTCTCGTGCTAAACCGGCGACCTCCTTTTCTCATTACTGAAGTAAGACGCTTAGCATTTCCAACTCTTTCCTTTCTGCTGCTGGCTGCTCTCTCACTCTGCGATGATTGTTTCTGCTCACCGAAATCCCAAAGAACGAACCTCAGAATTAAATATGACTCCTAATCCTAATTCATCCACAGCGATCGTTAGGATTAGCGTGGTTATTCACTTTTTCTGGACTCGTGAGCTGTTAGGGCTGTGGTTCTGTCGGCTTCTGGTCCGGAATGACTCGTTTTGTTCACTCTGGAGCATCAGTAATGCCACTTGGGACCTTTCAGCCATCCAGGGCTGTGCGTAAAACCACCTGGGAATATGGTTTTTGCTGTTTTAAAACATTTAAAAAATTATATTTTCAGACCCTAAACATTTTGAATTCAGTATAAAAAAGACAGTTTTGACACTTTAACGGTGATGATCATTAAAAAACAATGGCCATCGTTAATGATGTTACTGCATCAGTGCAACAAGTGCTCCTGTTCACTGATGCGCACGATGCTTTCCCTTCTGTAGATCAGTGATCGTTACTTGTTTGGTCTTTCTTGGCACAGTATTAAAATATATATATATATATTTTAAAAATATATATATATTTTTAATGGGGAAACTGAGATGTCCGAACACGTTCACTTAATCAAGACAAAAATATACAAAAAATGTGAAAGAAGAGACTTTGTAGAAGTTGCAGCAGACTGTGAAACAACATTAATGACCAAACAGCTTCATGCACTGTTTTGTCTGTATTTTGTAGTTTGTCTTGTTAAACTGGAGCTGTGAGGTCTAATCTCTTCCAAACCGAGCTGAAAAAAAACAACCAAACAAGCAAATTGAGGCCAACTTATTGGCCAGTCAGGCGGTAATAATGAGTTCACATCGCTGAAACTCATCGAGCTTTACGCGCAGTAAATGTGCGCAGTAATGTAAAGGAACAACACGCATTATTTACTGAGTGTGTCGAAGACAATTAGTCTGGATATTACCGGACGGTAAATCCAGTAACACTTGCTGCTCCGGAGTGATGGCCCTGCTCAGTGGCCACACTCTCTACTCAGTTAGTTATTCACGTATCTGTTGATTGGAGATCTGCCCAAGAAAAAACATACCCGGTAGTTATTGTGGCCATATTTGGGGGAAATTATCCCCAGTCTTTCAAGTGATTCTCCATTACTGCGTTTTTGTTTTTTACTAAAAGTGAAACAAGCACAGCCGGAGCGCGCAATAAGGCTTTTACGCAGCGAGCCCTTCTGACAGCCGGTGCAGCGGCCCTGCTGACCAGGTGGCGAGCGAACATCAAAACGCGCCTCGGACAGATGGCGAAGCTTCACCCGCCCCTCCACGGGACATAAATACGAGTCCTGACATCCACTCAGATGTTAATTAAAAGCTGCTTTTCGAAACACGTTTATTTGGAGAAACATGAGACGCGATCTTGTCATTTAATGCCCAGTGCGTTTGTTAAACGATCGATCTGGTTCACGGGTGGACGATCAGCGCCAGACCGACATAGAAACCGTAGGAACTGAATGGCACACATCACAAATATGTGTTTTAATTCACGCCTTGAGTCGGTGCCTCGATTGTTCAGCTGAAAAATAAAAATAAAAAAGAACATTTTCCTTAAATATAAAGGTGACATAACGTGAGGGTGAAATGAGTTTGTTCTCACTCTTAGCTCACAAACACAGACTGTTAAACTGACAACATTTTCCATAATGTCTCCAGGCGTGGGCGAGATTAATAGTTTTACAGCAACACGATATCGATAGAAAACAAAGCAGCGCGCTGCTGGTTCACGGTAAGTTCGCAAAGTTCGAGGCAGGGTGTTGATTTAATGCATATAACGAGGACACGTTTTGCTCCTGCTCCCGTTTAACACTGTGTCTAATTTACACACGCGCACAGAAACGCACAGAGTTTATGTTTCCAGCGCCAGGTCGTGTTTATCCAAGAACTGCAGAGTATAAATCCACGGTCTGTTCAACACCTTCTCTCCCGGGAGCTTGCAATAACTGCAAAATCTTAAACAGTAGCTTGTTTGGGGGGCGAAGCCTGCAGAGGCACTGCCTTATACAAGAGGGGAGACTCTGCAAATGGAGGCACATACATGTACAGGCAGCATGCCCAAAGATAGCCAACTAAAAGAATATTCCATTGGAATAGCTGTGAGTGGGGCAGTTATTCCAGGTCCAGGCTTTATTTTTGTCACGGCTAGAAAGAAATAATGCAAAATCAAGCATCATTCCCCCACTGTGTGCACTCACAACAGCACCTCCTCCCTTTAGATAAAGCGTTACTAACAGAGGGTTCGTTGCGTAATCAAGCAGGAGCAGTAACTGTACCTCTGACTTGCTGAAATGATGCCCGTCATCGCTCTGCTGTTTCAGGTCCTTGCTGTTGGATTTCAACCGCGGGACAAACGGAGGGGAGAGAGAGGAGAAGGATAAGTCAGGAGGGAAGTGAGAGACCGGGTGAGTTTGGCGCAGACAGTTGCGCATTAGCAGGTAAACTGGGGTCCAAGGTGCGCACTGAGCCGCCTATGATACCAACAATACGGATGGAAAGAACTTTAATGTGGAACCCTCACATTGTTCTGCAACGGAGGCTGAGAGTAGAGACAGACTGGCAGTTTATATTATAACTTAGAGGACAGCGCAGACAGTCAGCCGACACTCCGTGCGTCACCGTAGGGATAAGTAGGAACAGGAGCCCAACAGGTAGCTGAGCATTTAGGAGCAGGCCTTTTCCTGTGCGCACCTGGAGGCTTGTGTGCAGGAACATGTCCAGAGAGGAGCAGAGCTTTTCAGAAGTCGAGCTCAGTCCGGGGATGTCGGACGACAGTCGCTCCCTGTCGCCGGGTCACTCCTCCGGGGCGACGGGCGGCGGGGACTCGCCTCTCCACGGGCAGCAGCAGCCGCAGCTGGCCGGTCTGGACGACGCGTCGGCGGGCTGCTCGTCCGTCAAATCCGACGACGAGGACGAGCGTTTCCCGGCAGGAATCCGCGAGGCGGTGAGCCAGGTGCTCAACTGCTACGACTGGACCCTCGTGCCCATGCCGGTGCGCGTCAACACCGGGAGCAAGAACAAGCCGCACGTGAAGAGGCCCATGAACGCGTTCATGGTGTGGGCACAGGCGGCGCGGAGGAAACTGGCAGACCAGCACCCGCACCTGCACAACGCGGAGCTCAGCAAGACCCTGGGGAAGCTGTGGAGGTGAGGAGGCAGATACAGAACGACTGCAGCTGGGGAGTTAGACAGCAGGGATGTGGAGGGATTCCAGACAACAGGGGACAGCCAATTAAGGGGTGACCCTTTCAAAAAGTCATTAACATTTCCAAGTAAATCCAATAATAAATCTTAATCATAATTGCTGAAGCTGTCCTGTAGGGGCCAGAGGCTTGGTGGGTGTGGGGGAAGTGATCCAAGATTAGGATCGGAGGAAAGGTCAGTGTCGGGGTCAAGCCTGTCATAGTCAGAGGAAATTTAACCAAAAAAAATAACAACCGAAAATCCCAAATTGCAGATTCAATCACCTCTTTGCCACTCTAATCAAATCCCACATCATTTCTTCCCCTCTTCTGTAAATTGATTGTTTTAGCTGCAGGCTCACACTGAGGCCAGTACTCAGAGATGAGGGGGCATTTTTACAACCATTAAGCTCAATTTTTTTTTCAGAATTCTTCCTGCTATTTCAAAGTGAATTTAAAAATGACCTCTTGGTTAATAAATGCACATTATTATGAAATGTCTGATATTTCCAGCCAAAGTCTGGCTGAAGGCTGGAGTAGGGTTAAGTTTAAACGTCTAGTCTGATGACCCAGCGTCTAGTCTGCAAAACACTCACTATTTGCTGTCAAGAAGGTTGGAAAGGGTGAATTCATTAACCTTGTAAGGATCAGATAATAATTAGATAAAGACTTGACCTTGGGTTCAGTCAGACAGACGATGAGCTGAGGAAGGTCAGGGGTTTCTCATGCCATTCCTGCCAGCAAGCAGTAATAGAAGGAGCTCAGTCCCATGTTTGCAGACAGGATGCAACTCTGGCCCGTGTTATTTCATTACTGTTCGGCAGTTGAAAGCCCCTGGAAGGCACGATATTAGATGCAGCTGTGCAGATGTAGCAAATGAAGTTATCTGAGACAAAACGGGGAAATTTGTTATTCTGCACAGTGTACTGATTTGGCCTGAAAATGGATGAAAAGTGTAATCTGTGAACCAGCTCCTGGACATCCCCCTACTGAGCCTTAAACAGCCAATGTGCATTCTTTTGTATTTAGGTTCAGTTTAGCACCATCCTGTAGAACACACAGAATATTACACTGTTGGTTGTTGCAGAAGACAGCTGCCTAATTTATGAGTTCTGAGACTTTTTCTCCTCTTCATACTTGAAACAAACCAATCCACAATGCTTGTGTTTCATCCAAGGCTTCTTAATGAGAGTGACAAGCGACCCTTCATTGAGGAAGCAGAGAGGCTGAGGAAGCAGCATAAGAAGGACTATCCCGACTACAAATACCAGCCGCGACGCCGCAAGAACGGAAAGCTCGGTTCCGGATCAGGAAGTGAGGCCGACGGCCATTTGGAGGGTGAGGTCAGCCACAGCCAGCCCCACTACAAGGGCCTCCACCTGGAAGTGGCCCACAGTGGGGGAGCCGGGTCTCCTCTGGCAGACGGGCACCACCCTCATGCTGCAGGTGGGCTGCCGGCTCCCTCCCACTCCCTCACCGATACCCATCTCTGTCACACTGTTAGATCTGTGTGGATTCCACCAGACAGGATGGCACACAGTCAGGTCATTGTTTGTGAATCTGCAAGGCAAAAGGGCTGTAACTACATTCTTGTGTCTCTACAGGTCAGAGCCACAGTCCTCCCACACCTCCCACCACTCCCAAGACGGAGTCTCAGCCTGGGAAGACGGGGGATGGTAAGAGGGAGGGTGGCTCCCGTGGCTCAATGGGAGCAGAAGCGAGCTCAGGTGCTCCGGGATCTGGGAAACCTCACATCGACTTTGGTAATGTGGACATTGGTGAGATGAGTCATGAGGTGATGGCCAACATGGAGCCTTTTGATGTCAACGAGTTTGACCAGTACCTTCCCCCCAATGGGCACCCAGGGGTTGGGCAGAGCGCTGGGGCAGGAGGAGCAGCAACGGCCTCCCCAGCCTCTCCGTACACCTACGGCATCTCCTCAGCTCTGGCAGCGGCCAGTGGACACTCAGCAGCCTGGCTCTCCAAGCAGCAGCCACAGCAGCACCACGGCTCCACTCTGGCCTCGGACCACTCGAAGGCTCAGATCAAGAGCGAGTCTGGAGGTGCCGGAGGTCACTTTGCAGAAACGGCCTCAGCGGGTTCCCACGTCACCTACACCCCCCTCAGCCTTCCTCACTACAGCTCAGCCTTCCCCTCACTGGCCTCAAGGGCTCAGTTTGCAGATTACGCTGACCACCAGGCCTCAGGGTCTTACTACGCCCACTCCGGCCAGGCCTCGGGGTTGTACTCCGCCTTCTCTTACATGGGGCCCTCCCAGAGGCCCCTGTACACCGCCATCACCGACCCGGTCAGCGTATCGCAGTCGCACAGCCCCACGCACTGGGAACAGCCTGTCTACACAACACTGTCGCGGCCATGACAGACAACGAGACCAGAGCGCGCCGGTGCAGGTTCAGCCCCAGTGTCAGACCAAAGGAGCAGCAGCGTCGGAGGTATCAGTGGTGAAGCTGGTCTGGTCAGGGGGGAGTGGGCAGGCACCGGGGGAGTCGGCTGGGGAGGCAGGAGGGAAGAAACCCTGCTCTGCTTTTGCCCAGATGTGAAAATGCCGTCACAGCCCAAGGATGAGCTTGGACTGTGATGCTTCTGAAGAGTGGCACACAGTGGAGCCGTCAGAGAGGGTTTTACTTTGGTAAAAAAACAAAAAACATCCATCCACAACAGCACCTCAGCAAAGCCTCTGGCGCTCCAAACAACACACAAATTTCATGGGTGGTGAGGAATCGTGTCCCTGTCGGTTTGGTGACTTGACGTGTATGGGAGGGGGCGCCTGGAGCCAACAGGCGGGTCAGCAGCAGCAGCAGCACAGTGAGAATCACCTGGATCTGGACTGTGACGGACATGACTGAGAGGGAGCCAAGTTCATTCTAAATGTTTTTGTAACGCCACGAGAACGGAGTGCCAAAGCTTTTGCTGGCATTTCAGACAAACATTTATCGAGCAGGAAGTTTTTCGATAACGTTGTTTTTGTCCCTGTTTAACTAAAATGGTCGTCTGTGAACAGCCACGGGAGACAGATGGCGTAAACCCTCAGAGGGGTTCTTCAGTGAAATGTATATTTAGTGAAAACCGGTTTTCATGATGGCTGACGTTTATCAGGATAGTTTGTATGATGTACTTGAAGTTGCAAATGTACCTTACTGATGCATACAGATGTTCAATATTTGTAAAATGACCAAAGTTTTGAGACCAAAACTTCATGTTTACTTTTCATAGAAACTGATCTAGAGGTTTCTCCCAACGCGACACTCAAAACTACCTTACATTTCGTAGCCAATTAGTTTTCTCCCTCAGCTGTGACCCGTGTGTCCAGGAGGACTTGTTGTAAATTGTTTTTTTTTGTGTGTGTGTCAAAAGCTACTTTGGCCTTTTTCTCACAACGGCACTGATGATGATTTTCGTTGGTTTCTGACCCATGAACGACGATAAAAGACAATTCTATTTATACTCAGATAATCCGTAATCAGCGGTCACAGCGTCGCTACAGAACTGTTGTTCTAACACGTGACTGTACCGGTATATATCATCGACGTGTTATTATCCTCACTGAATGTCTGCACCACTGCCTTCTGCTCGTGTGTAAATCCAAGACGTGCGTATCGAACAGTATTCAGCGTGAAAATACTATTTTAATACATTTACAACATGGGTGATGCCAATACTGAGAGCGTTTTAACACAACATTAAATATGTAACATGCCTTGTCCTTAATAACACATTTTACAAACAGATGGACCGGAGAAGTAACCGCCTCCTGTTTTATGTTAACTCATTTGTTTGTGTCATTTTTAAACTGTTCTTCTTGCTGTTGTTTCTCTTCTTGTCACAAATACTTCTTTATTTCTTAAATATATCTGTTAAACTATTTAACTTGCTTTGTTTTTATGCACAATATATTACTACTGGATGCAGATCTGAGCTACATACAGGCACCGCTGCTTGTTTTACTGCTTAGTTGAAGCTTAAAGTCCTTATTTAGCCGTTTACCTCCAAAACAAAGCCCTTCCTGCTTTGTGTGAAATATGCGTAACTTTGCTTTGAATTTTACATTCTTTATTTATACCTGATTGAAGTTTGTGTGCACTGTTGTTCATCTCTATTCAGAGGACGTCTTACCGCCATTTAAGTATTTCATTTTTCCCGTTCTTGTGTAACCGTCGGCAGAGCTTCTAAACAACAGCAGAAAGCCTAAACATGTGATGATGACGCATGATCTTTTATTCTCCGCTTGAAATAAAGCTCTTATTATTTCTGCTTGAGTCTGCCTCTTCAAATATTCTTGCAATGTAACTAATAATGGAAATAACACATCTATATCTGCATAATTAATACAGTAAAAAAAAAAAAAAGAAGAAGAATTTTGTGACTTTTTAAAAAAAAAAAAAAAAGAAGAAGAATTTTGTGACTTTTTCAAGCAGCAACTTCTCCTCCAGATTACAGAAACGTTCCTATTGTTGCGAAGTTGGCCAAAGCTCCTCCACTCATAAATAAAATAACACAGAAAAACAAAAGCACATGTCTTCGTGGCTTCTAATGACTCAACCGCTGCTCGCATTCTCGGCATAATCTGTTCAGCTGGTGGATAATTCACTTTAGCTGGCAGGGCCTCAGCGCCGCTCCGGCCAGTAGCAGGAGGGAAGCTCGACGTGAGCGATGGTGACTCGCAGGAGCGTTGCATTACAACACAACAGCAAAGGCGTCACCGGAGCCACATTCACGGCGCTGATTTCAGCAACAGAAAGCTTCTCCCCCTCCCCGTCTTGGGCTAACTGACCCTCCGGGGTTACGATCGGTTATGCACGCCTGTATGCATATTTCAGGTTTCTTATAGTATGCATGCATGTGCGTGTTTCCGTGTGTGTCGCCGGCTAAGCCTGACTCCTAATTCCCTCTCTTTAATCGGCTGTGTGATACTTTGGAAAGACAAAGAGGGCCATTGAAAGGGATCTGGGGGAGGAGGGAAGCAGGGCAACGGGAGAGCCTTACCCATAACCGCCGGGGCCTGTAGCTTCACCGGGATACAAAGGGACTCTTACTCTCTGCGCATAGACCCTGCAAAGCTCGCTGCCCTCCCTCCTCCTCACATCCCCCCACACTCACTGACAAAAAAATAAAATAAAATCTCTCTTAAGGTTGGAGCTATGATGTGAAATCTTACAAAAATGAAGCGACAGAATCGAGGGAGTTGTACACACCAGACTTCCAACATATCAATCAAAGCGATTTTTGTTGGGTGGAAGGTTCTGTTTCTGTTTCTCAAAGCCGTGCCGACACATTTAGGGTCACGTATGATCTAACTATTCTATATCACTCAGCTGATCTGTTGCCACATGCACATGAGGGAACTTTGAAAAGTCCTCAACAGAAAACGTCAAAGGAAGAAGATTGTTCTGGTTATTTTTCTCCAAAGTCTACACAACATTTGGCTTCTTCTGCCACTGTGCTGAGTGGACATGCGTATTGACCAGGAGCTTTTTCTGATGATCGTTTCAAACATTCGAGTTTTCGTGGACAGCGATACAAGGCTTTAGATGTGGAGGTGTATGTGTTCATCCCCTTCCATTAAAGAAAAGGCAAAACTCACAAAAGTCACTGAAATAACTAGAAACTGACAAAAGTAATAATAAATAAAAAAATGTTAAATTGTATTTTAGTGAAATAAGACATTGCTTTTGAAATGTGGTTGAAAAGAATAATTTAAAAAAAAACAAAAAACAAAACTGTCTTGGACAAATTAGAGCACTTTGCTGATGAGCACTGGGCCAGAATACCTGTCAACAGGTGCAGAAGTCTGACTGAGAGGGGAGTCTATCCCAGCTGACTCAGGGTGAAGGCAGGTTCACCTGGACAGGTAACCAGTCTATCACAGGGCTACACTTAGAGACAGACAACCAAGCACACTCACATTCACACCTACGGACAATTTACAATCACCAATTAACCTCAGCATGTTTGTGGACTGTGGGAGGAAGCCGGAGAACCCGGAGAGAACCCACGCTGCACGGGGAGAACATGGAGACTCCACGCAGAAAGATCCCGGGTGTCCTCACCGGGACGTGAACCAGCGACCTTCTAGCTGTGAGGCCACGGTGCTAAACACCGAGACACCTGCAGCCCTTAAAGAAACATTGAGGAAAAAAACACATTTGGGCATCAGAGTTTGTGAACACTAGTTCTAAAAGTAGATAAAGTTGAATCAATGACACAACTTGGTCATTTATCTATTGAGGAAAAGATCCGACATTACATATTTGTGAGTGTCTCTGTCAATTATCAGTCATTAAGCGCTTTAGTAGAAGAAGGCATCTCTCTCATCCAACAGGCTTCCTCGGTTCGAGCCGACTGGTGTGGAGTGCCAGGTGTTTATTCTCATCCCAACTTATATATGACTCAAGAAGTGAATGATTATGAAACTGCCTGAGGAGGGACCTCAGGACTGCATATATGCGTGGCGTTACAGACCACCTCCTCTACTTAGAGATGGCTCCTCCAGTTCAACATACTTCCTTCATTCCTTTTTCCTCTCCGTCCAGAACGTAGACGTTGCTGTAAAGAGTTCCCTTTCATCCAACACATGGATATGGCCGTTCCTCTCTCCAGACACCATGTCTCTCATTTAAACCAAATGTTCTATTTTTGGTCTCATTGGTCAACATTTCTGCAGCAGCCTTCTGGCTCATTCACATGATGGTTAGCAAACTGCAGAGGGGCAGCCATGTTCTCTAAGAGGGGCCACCGGCATTCTCCTCACAGCCCCGTCATGGACATGATCGTTGGTTCGTGCTGTCCTGATGGTGGAGTCATGAAGACTAAAGTGAACTAATGAGAAAGAGACCGTTAGTAGAAATGACCCTGGCTTCCTCTGTGACTTATTGTGAGCTGAAGTAGTGCAAAGTGTCTAGAGATGGTTTCGTAACCTTGTCAAGCCTGATTACTTTCCCCCGTTCGTGCCATGAGACACTTTCACAAACATGTTGTAAAGATCAGACTTTGATAAACGCCTGATGTTTTGGGTCATATTTGTGCAGAAATACAGAAAACTCAAAAAGGGGAACTCCGAGACCTTGAGCGAAGGACCGAAAAGGAACAGTCAAGACAGATTACATGAGGCAAACAAATTAAGCCGAGTACTGACAAAATATAAATCTCAGAACACATTAGTCACGTCCTTAACTGGGTCTGAGCGCTGCCGGATGGCGGCCTCGCTGTGGTTGGTGCTGGTGAGTGTCACATGTGCTGCCCTCCTCTCCGTCCCATGAAAGCGAGCAGTGTCGTCCCGAGGCGCTGTCTCCTCCGCTCAAAAGACTCACACATTAAAGTTTTGGGTTTTGCTTTTTTCAGAAATTAATGACACAACTGCAGCTGCACACAATTATAAATGCCAGTACGAACTGTTTCCTGCTTTATGATGTTTAAATGTTAGCGAGGTAAGCTCAGGACTCAGTGACAAACTATCTACTTGGTGAAACATGCGTCTTGTTGTACGTTATTGTACACACACACTGAACACATACTCTGATGATCCATTTATCAGCTGCAGCCTTTTTCCACAACAAAGCCGTTAATCCTCTCTTTCAAACTTTCTCCCCCCCTCCCTCTCTCTCTGTCTTCCAGCATGCACTGACCGTCTCTCTGCCGGGGCACCAACCCATTTCCCTCAAACAATACACTAACTGTTTGGCTGCTTTGTGCGTGTGTTTGTGTGGGGGAAGAGGAGGGAGACCCGGAGAGCGCCATGACAGCTACAACACGTCTCCATCAGCTGCAGGGGAAAACCTGCTGCACCTTTTATAAACGATGGCGCCTGAACATTAAACCTGTCAGGAACTAATAGTACAGTATGTTTCCACTCATGAACAATCAAAAACAGACACTTTAGAAACATCAGATTGCAAATTTAGGCTCCAAACTCATGACAACAAAAGCGAATGCAGCTGTGATACACGAGTTACACAACTGAACCCAGCACACCTGTCATTTACAATCAGCCTAACTGCATGAACGTGATTCTAAAATGTCTCATGACCACCAGAACTTTCTCAGTTTTGCAAAAGCATGACCAGAGAAACTGACAAATCTGATTGCGACACTTCTTAAAGATGGAAAGAGATACAGGAAGCTCCGAGGTGGGAGTGTGATAATACAGAGCTGCATGAGAGAAGACATTTATAGATGCACCATAAATGTCTGTGGATAAACCAAAATACTGGCCTACAAACAGACTCCTAGACTTCAGAGGTTTGACTGAAGAAGGGAATATTCCAGCATGATAATCATCCAAAGCACACTGCCTGAATCACACGAGGAAAAAAAAAACACAAAACAACTTTGACCTGATCCAGTGTCACCTGACTTGATAAAACGCTTAAAGGGAAAATACAGCAAAGAGCAGCTGAATAAATGTCTGACAAATGTTAGAACATCCATCCATCATCTCTACACCTTAATCCTCACCAGGGTCATGGGGGGCTGGAGTCTATCCCAGCTGACTCAGGGTGAAGGCAGGTTCACCTGGACAGGTAACCAGTCTATCACAGGGCTACACTTAGAGACAGACAACCAAGCACACTCACATTCACACCTACGGACAATTTACAATCACCAATTAACCTCAGCATGTTTCTGGACTGTGGGAGGAAGCCGGAGAACCCAGAGAGAACCCACGCTGCACGGGGAGAACATGGAGACTCCACGCAGGAAGATCCCGGGTGTCCTAACCAGCAACCTTCTAGCTGTGAGGCGACGGCAACCACCGAATCACCTTGCAGCCCAGTGTTAGAACATCCCTTCATGCAACACAGTTACTCTCCCTGCTAATGAATGTCATTTAAAATAAAGGTGGACATACGAATATAGACAAAAGATTTGAATCTCAGTATTGACAGTACTGACATTTGTTGCATTCATTCCTACTCTGGCACCTTTATTTTTAAAATGGCAAATCTAAACTCTTGGGTTTTGTTGTTATATCAGAGCAAATACCCTGATATTCCACCAACTGTAACGCAACCACAATGTTTTATACAACATTTCATGAGCATTCCCAAAACTAAAGCTGGATTTGTTGTACAATGATGCTCGACACAGATCTGACTCCAGACGCTGATGACTTCCCACTCAAACCTTTGTGACGGTTCACAGTGTTCGCAATAAAAACCAGAAAATACAATTTATACAAAAGAGTTTATTTGTAACAATAAAACTGTTACTTTACACTAATTACCACTCATCAAAAACAACAAATGTAAAACTTACAACACAGGATCAAGTGTTTGATTAAAGTTATGTTTCCCCCTTGTGGCTCTTAGTTGTACTGCAGCTACTAAAATGACTAACATGGCAGTTTCTAACATAAATTTGACCTGAATTGTGTGGAATGCACAAACAACGTAATGATAAGTCAGTTCACAGGATTGTAAACCTGTGAGTGTTTTGATTTCCATGAGTCTTCCAGTGGGTCTGTTTCTCAGTTATTCATATTTCAGTGTCACCCTGAAGTACATCTGGACCGCATCTATTAGCAAGCTTGTAGGTGAGGTAATGTTGGGCTTTGGGGACTCTTCTGGGTTTGTGTAGCCGACAGACCTGGTACGATGGTGGGTGTTAAACCACCACACGCTGTTGTACGAGCGCAGCAGACTGGATGAGCCGCTTAATCGGTTATGATGAGCTCATCGCAGCCCCAGTCCTCATAACTGCCGTCAGGAAGGTATCTGCGGATGATGATCGGGATCTTTCTGCTCCTGTTGGAGGAGACAAACTACAGTCAGATACCATCGCACCAACCCGCTCTTCAGCAATGACAACAACAATAAATAAATCAAGACAGAGAACTAAAACCATCACTTACTTTAGCTCTTTCATAGCTATTTGTAAGGGGTCTGTTTCTCCTTCCAACTCCACCATAACTGGAGCGCACATCCTGTTGGAAATAAGTCAGCAGGTGGACCACGGCGTCAGTGTCGTTGGTTGAAAATTACAATCCTTAGTTAACATTTGTTACTCAAATGTGCTTTGGTATAGAGAAGTGGCACTGCCTTGTTTTGGGTAATTGAGAGTCTCAACTTCATGAAGCTCATCCATGACACGTGTAAATGACTTTTGGAGAGGACACATGTACTTTTGACCATTTGCTTTGTGTCTCTGTTGAATAGTTTGCAGACAGCGGGTGAATTTTTGAGAATGTCATCAGTACATTATAGTCTCAGAGTGGAAATGCTCAGTCGTGGCATTGACTGATTATTGTCTGAGCACAGATCAACACCATATGGACACATTAACAAGGTAAAAACAACACTTGAGATAAAAATATACTGGCTATTACCACCTAAGTACTCAAATCGTACTTAGCTAATGCAAAAGACAAAGAACAAAGAACACAACTGTTATACAATGTGCTATACCAGCAAGTTAGATTAACTGACTTGACTTGAAGTGTCAGATGTTACTATGGAAACCTCATTGTTTCCTCAGCGCTGTACTAATCAAGTGCTGTCATGGTCCATTCTTTGCTTCTAGTTTGACCAGCGCGGTACTGATGCACTTTAATATCACAGTTAGTTTAACCAAATATCTCAGTATACATGTTCGAGGGTACTTCAAAAAGTTTTCAGCCTCACTCACACACAGTAACTCCCATTTTATGGCATAGCTGTGTACAATAAAGCTTTATATCATGGACGACAAAAACTCAATCAGCTAAAGCAATCAAAGAACAACAGAGAGCTGGCTGCTGTTGCTCCTTGACAAGGCGTCCAGCACAGGTGGCAGAAGCAGCCAAACGTGGCTTTGAACTGTTGCCCCATGAACCTCACTCACACACCTGCACCGTTGGACTTCTGTTTCCTAAACTGAAATCCCACTTGCACAGGTGCACTTTTCAGAGCGATGATCACGTCATCCATGCTGCTGAGGAGTATATGGAGGCTCAAGATGGGACTTTCTACTGGAGGGGACGGTGAACGTGACTGAAGTTGGAGTAAACTATGTAAACTGTGTCGTTTTCTGGTGAGGCCGAGAACTCTTGGAAGTACCTGCTTATATAATGTGACAAACCTTTGAGGATGATTATGTGGGATTTAAGAGAATAAATTCACAGCAGACAGGAGGAGGCCAGACTTGGTCCTCGTAAACACTCACGCTATCTGCAGAGCTCGTGTCCCCAGAACTCTGGCTCTCTCATACTTGGTCATGTACGGTGTGGTGATCCTCTTCTGGTTCGCCTGCTGGCCCTCTCCTGCTGGGAGGATCTGCACGTTCTCCTGGTCATCCTGCTCTCCACAGCAACACAAAGGGACATTATTCACATATAATACTATATGATATTATTTGGCGTTACAACATAAGCTCAGCCAAATAGCAAAGGCTCTGACACACGCGCTAAATGCACGTATTACTCATTTGAACATCCATTTATCCAACAACTGAACGACGAACTTACATCTTCCGCGTTTTCCAGATCATCTAATCCCTCGTCTTCCTCCGCATCATCGAAATCTCCATCATCGAAGCTAAAGAATCAGACAGAATAACGTCATGAAGGACAGCACATCCCACTAGCACTGGGAAGTTGTGTTAGCTAGGTTGCTACCGTTAGCACTAACATTAGCTCTACCGTTAGCTCACGCTGTTACTTTAACTCGCAGCCTGTTGAGACTCTGCTGTTACTCACTTATCCTCGTTGTCCGACATTTTCTGTTCTTAAGTCTGTGTTTATCCCCTCCGAGTCTTCAAACTTCAATGTTTTCGGCTCCACTTTTTGTTGTCAACACGGACCCACATGAACGCTGTGAACGCTCCACTTCCGGTGGCTCAGCGCGTTCGAAAAACGATCCGGGTCCTCAGTAGAGAAAGTTTCAGGTTCCGCTTCCTCGTCTACGGACACATTACGGGGTTGCTCTGCGATGTTTTAGCCGCTCTGTGGCCTGAATTATTCTGAAAAGCAGTTTGAGTCAAAATGAAATAAATATATAAATTAATATGGCCATGAAACAAAACCCTGAAATGAACAAGGAAACAAAAATCCTCTGAAAAAAGATATTTTTATTTTTTGTAGAATAAAAAAATAAACTATTCATTTAATAATTATTTATTTATATGCATAATTTATATGCATATTTGCCTCGTTTATTTATTCAATAG